TGGAGGTGGTGGTGATGGTGGTGGTGGTGATGGTGGTAGTAGTGGTGGTGGTGGTGATGGTGGAGGTGGTGGTGATGGTGGTGATGGTGATGGTGGTGGTGGTGGTAGTGGTGTGTGTATGTGTACAATGGCCTTGCCATGAAGATGGGTGAGGAAGACTCCAGCTGTTCCAGCAGCCTGATCCTGTGTTTGTTTTCTCTCCAGAGTGTGGAAATGGCCATGGGAAGAGCCTGCACCACCAGGAGCATCTGCCTCACACTAACACCCAGATCGCTGTGGTCACCGAGGGGACACCTCCAACTACAAGCACCCCTGCACAGATGCAGAGTACCCAGCAGTCCACTTTCCCATCCGGAGCACTGTCTTTGAACAAAGGGGCCACCCACCACAGTAAGACCAGAGCTCTCACCTCAGGCTATGACCCGGAAGCTAGACTGGAGGCTGAGGCAAATAAAAACCAGCAAGAGGACAAACAGCAAGAAGGAAAACCAGGAGCCTCAGCTGGCAAAGCAGCCTTGGTGCCAGTGCTGTCCCTCCTGGCCATCGTTTTCCTTCTCACGGCAGCCATGGCCTATGTGCTGTGCAGCAGGAGAGACAGGCAGCGGAGAGATGCAGGTAAAGAGACTCCTCACCTCCAGGGCCCTAGAGACGTCCTGGTAAGGGTCCTGCCCTGGTAGCGGGTAACAGAGGTGGACAGTAAGGCTGTCGGCACCAGGGGCCATGAGGGTCTTAGGGTTGACTAACATCTGGGAGTCTTGACTCCCCGCTTCAGTTCACGTCTGCCTCAGTTCTCCATCTCCCAGCTCACCCACCACTTTCTTTCTACTCTCTAGATCTGCAGCTCGATTATACACTTGTGAACTCTAGTGTCTGAAGCAGGACTGGGGCTTTGGAGAGAAGACGCGGGAGAGAGATGGCAGGCTGGGCTCCGTCAGTGAACTGGACCTTCACTCGTTCTTTCACGTCATAAGCCTGGGCAGCTTTGAGCTGCTGATTCTCTGCCTCTCCATGCTAGGCTCTGGGATTGCAGACATACACATCTGCCCTAATTCACTGCTGTATATAACGCATTTAGAACTTTAGTTTGCTTAGGGAGGATCTTACTTAGTCCAAGTCGGCCTCAAATTCCCTATGTGTCTGAGGATGACTGAGTCTCCTGCCTCCACTTCCATAGTGCTGGATTACACACTTGCTAAACACTTTTTTTAAGGATTTAACTTTATGTGCATTGGTGTGAAGGTGTCAGATCTCGTGGAACTGCATTTTCAGACACTTGCGAGCTGCCACGTGGGTGCTGGGAACTGAACCCGGGTCCTCTGGAAGAGCAGTCAGTGCTCTTAACCGCTGAGCCATCTCTTCAGCCCCAACACTTTTTTTTTTTTTTTTTGAGACAGTATTTCACTATTCTCCCCTGGCTGTCCTAGAACTCAGAAAGATCTGCCTGCCTCTGCAGTGTTGGGATTAAAGAACTTCACCTGGCCCTTAGGAAATGTTTTGTTTTCTGGGGTTTTTTGAGACAAGATTTTCCTCTGTGTAACAGCCCTAGTTGTCCTGAAACTAGCTCTTGTAGACCAGGCCTTGAACTCACAGAGATCTGCTTGCTTCTGCCTCCAGATTGCTAGGATTAAAGGCATGCCTAACCGCCACCTGGCTTTGACTTGGTTTTCTTGAGACAGGGTTTTTCTGTGTAACAGCTCTGGCTGTCCTGGAACTCACTCTATAGACCAGGCTTGGTCTCAAACTCACAGGGATCCACCTGCCTCTGCCTCTCGAGTGCTGGGAATAAGGTGTGCATCACTCTTAATGATTAATAACATGAGCAGCCCTACTGGCCCTGGTCCTCCCCCTGTTGCTAATAAAATGTAATACTCTAAACCATGTGGTCTAGAGGTATGGCCATTGGTAGAGTGCCTGTCTAGGATGCGTAAAGTTCGAAGTTCAACTCTCCTGCTACCAATAAATTAATTTTTTAAAATGTCTGCTTTTTACATTGTATAACAATAAACTAGAAAATCTATGGTTTTAACTATAAAAAATGCTTTAGAGCTGGACGGTGGTGGCGCACGCCTTTAATCCCAGCACTTGGGAGGCAGAGGCAGGTGGATCTCTGTGAGTTCGAGACCAACCTGGTCTACAAGAGCTAGTTCCAGGATAGGCTCCAAAACCACAGAGAAACCCTGTCTTGAAAAACAAAAAAAAAAACCAAACAAACAAACAAAAAAAAGCTTTAGAATTAGTGGCTGAGGGCTGGAGGGAGGACTTAGCAGTTTAGAGCGATTGTTCTTGCAGAGGACTAGTGTGGTGCTCACAATCATGTGGAACTCCAGGACCTGGGGACCTGACAACCCTCCTGGGACCTCCACAGGAACATTTTATACACGCGTGCACACATACATACATACATACATACACACACACATACATACATACATATATATATGCACACACACATTATGCACACACACACAAAGTCAAACCATTACACATAAATCTAAACAACTCTTTATTTAGAAGTATTGACTTGGGCAGATGCTGGCGTCAGTCTCCGTCCCCTGAGAAGTGCTGATGGTGCCCTCAGGCCACAGGTCCCCCCCCCACACACACACAGTGTCAGCTCTTCTCCAGTCCCACAGCGAAAGTCTAGGCTGTCTCGCAGCTCCGTGATGATCCCGTGCTGGTTCTGGGCGGGCTGGACTCACTTCCTCCATCTCTAGGCTCACTCATATTTACCCCAGAGAGAGAGCCTGACCTCACAGAAAAGTTACAGCTTTTATTATAACAGTTCCTGTTTTGTTTTTTCCAACGAGGAACATAACTTATCTTTTGTTTTGTTTGGTTTTTATTGTTGTTGTTTTTCAAGACAGTGTGTCTCTGCAGCTTTGGAGCCTGTCCTGGAACTTGCTCCATAGATCTTGAACTCACAGAAATCCACCTGTCTCTGCCTCCCAAGTGCTGGGATTAAAGCTGTGCACCACCACTGGGCTTCATAATATCTCTTTTTGAGGAAGGGTCTTGCTATGTACTTAGCCCGGATGAGTCTCAAACTGCAGCACTACCTCCCCTTCCCAAGTGCTGGGATTACAGATGTGAGCCACCATGCCTGCTTATGAGACTCGCTTTGTAGACCAGGCTGGCCTCAAACTCACAGAGATCCACCTGCCTTTGTACCCCCAGTGCTGGGGATTAAAGCCACGTGCCACCACCACCGGCTGAGAATACTTTTACTGGGGAGCTGGAGAGAGTGCTCAGTGGTTAGGAGTGCTGACTGCTCTTCTAGAGGGTCCAGGTTCAATTCCCAGTACCCACATTGGCTAACTACCATCTGTAACTCCATTTCCAAGGGGGAGCCAACGCCCTCTTCTGGCTTCCACAGGTACTGCATATATGTGGTGTACAGACATGAGAAAAAATAATCATACTTGTAAATCTTAAAAAAATACTTTTATTGGGCAAAGTCTTCTGGAACTCAAGGGCAGGGTGTGCATGAGGAAGTGGGTTTGGCAGTCGTCTCTGATCCCTGTCTGAGCTTGCATAATGGAAAGCAGGGCCATCTTGCTGGAGGAGCCAGGACAGGTCTGTGGGCAGACTTGGGCTTTAGAGTCTCCAGTTCTACTTTGTGCCCCATGGTCCTCGTCTGCCCTGACCAATAGAGCATGTATGTATCGCTCTGCTCCCATCCTACCGGTCTCTGGGCTCTGTCCCAGGTGCAGGTCACATAGCACCATCCTGACTTAGCTCTCCAGCATCTGCTCACAGGTTCGCGCCACATCGCTGATCTTCAGGCGGGCATAGTCCACTCTCTTTAGCGCCATTTGGCAATCCTTCCTGGAGGAGTAGCTGGAGCCCTCGTGGGGCTGCCCTGTGGCCACCTACAGAACAGTTACACGGATCAGAGGAGCCCTGCCTCTCTTGACCACCCCACAAGCAGGCTTCAGGTGTCTGAGCCCATTTCTTACCTGAGTTTGACCTACTCTAGCGTGTGGTAGCTCAGTGATCTAAGGCAAACGACATAACCTCTGTGAACCTCATCTGTGAGATATGGACAACAATTAGCACTTCCCAGAGTTGGAGGATAAGACACTGCAGAGTGCCCAGCACACCGCAAATGTTAGTAAATAGGGTAGCTAGAGTAAGGACTTTGGAAGCAGCCTAGTGCCTAGGAGTCCCTGTACTTGGTCCCCAAGCATATGGGGCCTCTCACACAACATCAGGCTAAGTTTCTGGGTACAAAGTTCAGTGGCTTCAGTTTTATTTTTTTTGTTCCATACTGGGGCCTCCTGTATGGTAGGCAAGTACTCTAGCATGGAGCCCAGCCCTCTTTTTTATCTACTGGGTCTAAACTGCCCAGACAAGTTTTGAACTTGTGATCCTCAGACCTCAGCCTCGTGAGCAGCTGAGATGACATGCCTAAACCACCTTGTCTGGCTAGGTACTGTTTACACACCCTTGGCACTTTTTGTTTTGTTTTTCGAGACAGGGTTTCTCTGTGTAACAATCCTAGCTGTTCCGGAACTCGCTCTATAGACCAGGCTGGCCTCAAACTCACAGATCCGCTTGCCTCTGCCTCCCAAGTGCTAGGATCAAAGGCGTGCACCACCACCGCCTGGCTGGCACTTCTAATCCCTAGCTTTTAGAGAACTAAACCAGCCCTGAAATGAAAATGCCTAAACCGGCATAAGAGGCAATCTTTTTTCATTTTACATACCAATCCCAGTTCCCACTCCCTCCGTAAGAGGCAGTCTTTTTATTTATTTGTAAGAGGCAGTCTTATCCAGCTAAAACTAAGGCTAGGGCGGAGATGGAGCGCTGGGGTCCCCGCCCAGCACCTTCTAAACACACCCACCTGGGTTAGGTAGCGGATCTGAGCCGACAGTTCGGCCTCCACGTGCTGCACAGAAGCGGTGAAGGCTGCCGCCTGCCGGTCTAGAAGCCGCTCGTTCGTTTTCTCCTTGGACAGTTCCAGGATCGCCGTTCCTGCAGGGCGGGGAGAGGGCGGCGTTAGACTAAGTTGGAGACGTCGCCCCGCCCAGGACTAGCACCCAGGTCCCGCCCACACCGCGCGCGGAGTCCCGGCTGGCCTTCGGGCTCTCAGCTCCGCTCCTCACTCCCCGAACCTGCGTTCTGGAGGATGGCGCCGATTTCGCGCTCGATGTCCTCCAGGGCGCGCAGCCGCTCGTTCGCCAGGCTGTAGGTAGCCATGGTTCCTGTGGAAAGTCCCACAGGCCGTCTTTACCGCGGTGTCCAACCAAGGCCCGGAAATGCCTGCTAGTGTGCGTCTGCGCAGAGACCGCTGTAGCGAACACTACAATTCCCAAGATGCTCAGCGCGGCCTCGCCCTTCCGGGTCCACCTGGTCTAGACTAGCCGGGCTCTGGTGCCAGGCCGGATCGCAGGTGGGAAGAGGCGGTATTGGCATTTTTGTTTTCTGACAGGGTCTCACTGTAGACCTGGAACTCACAGAGAAGAAGATACTCTAAAGAGACACTTGTGTCTCTTAATTCTATCAGACTTCAAACAATGGACTCCAAAGAAATGGGTATTTTCCTAGGAATTTCATGCTGGGAGAAGGAAAGAGCATCAGCCAGAGCGGGGGACTTGACTTCCAGAAAGATTTCACACAGTTCTAATACCTTGCAGATCACTCTACGGAATTAGCCCAGACAATGGTGAGGCAGTGGCGGATGTGAGCACCCATGACTGGGATTGCTTAGAAATAGACTGCCTTGGTCCTCCAAACGCTGAGGTTACGTCAAAACCCTCAGGCTGACTTGAGGGGTCTCTTTGTCCCTCTTCCCCAGGTTGCCACGTTAAGTAAGTTTCCTTTCTCGGCTTTCCACTTTTAATTTGGCTCTTTTAATTGGCGTATTGTGCCCAGACATGATCTAAGCACAAGTTTTGCACATTCACACCCCCCCCCCCCCCCCCCCCCCCCCCCCCCCCCCCCCCCCCCCCCCCCCCCCCCCCCCCGCCCACCCTCCTCTCTCCCCGTAAATTGAATAACAGTGTTTCTGCCTCCCTAATGCTTGGATTAAAGGTGTGAGCCACCACTAAAACAGCCTGTGACCAAAGCCGTTCAGACCTGTCAGATTTAATTGACACTGGAGAAATTACTGAGTTCATAAGATTAAGCATTGGTCCTGTGCCAGGTGAGGATGGTGGAAATTCTAGTGTGTTCCTCCATACTGTGTAGTCATGGACTTTTTGCTGGCCAGCCTCTCCCAAGGAAAGCTTGACTTGAAGTGTAAGCTATTCTCCCTAAGGCTTCGTCCTGATCCTGAGCCCAGCTGGTTCTCGGGTCCTGGCTCCTTCCTGCCTCCTTTCTATCTCTGATTGCCAATTAGGCGCTAGGCTCTAGGGAAAGAAAGGCAAACCAAACGAGATGTTCTCTCATTCCAGTGTTTTGTTAGTGCAGGTGCAAAGCTTTTTTAAATATATATATATATTTATGAATATGGGTGTTTTGCCTGCATGTATGTCCATGTGCATGCATTATCCATGGAAATCAAAGAGAGCATAGATTCTTTAGAACCAGAGTAATTGACAGGTCTGAACCACCATGTGGGTGCTGGGAATCGAACCAGGGTCCTCTGAAAGATCAGTCAGTGCCCTTAACCACTGAGCTTTTCCTTCAGTCCCAGAAAAAGGATTTTTGGAGAAGGTGGTTTTTGAAGTGAATTCTAAAGGGCTGTTGAGGTGGATGGGAGGTTGTAGGGGGAAAGGGGGCAGTATCCTCCAAGAGATGGGACTGTGAAGGGCCTGGTACAGTTAAGAGTCCAGTAAGAAGTTCCGTTTCTGTGGAGTGAGCGGAATGTTATTGGTGGTGATGAGGGGTGACATGAAGCTGAAATAGGGAGATCAGGAAAAGACTCATAAGCTAAGAGATGCATTCTGGGATGCTACAAAGAAGGATTGAGGAAACTAGACCGTAAAAGGCTAATCAACCCAATTATAAAATGGGGCACTGAGCTGAACAGAGAATT